AACCTGTGAATATCTTTACAGGTGAAGTGAGTTTCTAGTAGGCAGCATATAAATGGGTCTTGCTTTTTATCCATTCAGTCAGTCTATAATTTAACTGGGAAATTTTAACTATTTACATTCAAGGTTGTTAGTGTCAGATGAGGACTAACTTCTGTTGTTTTGTTTTGTACATTTAAAAAATTTTATGTATATTTTTGTATATACACATTATTTCGTATATTTTGTGTTCCTTTCTTACTCTTTTAAAATATTTTTTTATTTTTTTGAGTTGGAGTCTCACTCCATTGCCTGGGCTGGAGTGCAGTGGCATGCTCATGGCCACCCCAGTGTCGACCTGCTGGGCTCAGGTGTTCCTTCTGCCTCAGCCTTCCAAGTAGCTGGAACTACAGATATGCGCCACTACGCCTGGCTAATTTTTCTTGATTTTTTTTTTTTTTGAGTTGGAGTCTCATTCTCTCGCCCAGACTGGAGTGCAGTGGCTGCTCCTGGCCACTGCAACCTCGACCTGCTGGTTCCCGGCGATCCTTCCGCCTCAGCCTTCTGAGTAGCCGGAATTACAGACATGTGCTACCACGCCTGGCTGATTTTTTGCTTTATTGTAGAGATGAGGTTTCACCAAGTTGCCCAGGTTGGTCTCGAACCCATGGGCTCAGGCAATCCCCTCACCTCGGCCTCCCAAAGTGTTGGGATTACAGGTTTGAGCCACCATGACCGGCCTTCTTTTATTGTTTACCTTTATGATTTTGTAGAATTCTGTAGTGATAACTTTGATTCCTTTCTCTTTCTCATTTGTGTCTGCTCTACCAATGAGTTTTATATTTTCATGTGTTTTCACAAGGGTACATATTGTCCTTTTGCTTCCCAATGTAGAGCTTCCTTAAGTATTTCTTGTAGGGCCAGTCTAGTGGTGATAAATTCCCTCAGTTTTGGCTTTCCTGGAAAAGACTTTATTTTGTCTTCATTTCTGAAGGATAGCTTTTGCTGGGTATAGTCTTGTTGGGAGTTATTTTCTTTCAGTACTTTGTATATATCACTTCATTCTCTCCTAGCCTGTGAGGTTTCTGCTGAGAAATTTGCTGTTATTCTTTTTAAAAATTATTTATTTATTTGTTAAGAAATTTGCATTATTCTGATGGAGATTCTCATATATGCTATTTTACACTGTTCTCTTGCTGACTTTAGAATTCTCTCTTTGTCTTTGACTTTTGACAGTTTGGCTATAATGTGCCTTGGAGAAGACCTTTTTGAGCTGAATCTACTTGTGGGTTGAATCTATTTCTGAGCTTCCTGTATCTGGATGTCTATATCTCTCACAAGACTTGGAAATTTTTCAGCTACTATTTGATTAAATAGGTTTTCTATGCCTTTTTCCATTTCTTCTCCTTCTGGAACTCCTAAAATTTGGTGCTTTGGCTTTGATTCTGAGTGAGTACATTAGTGTAGTCTCTGTATGATTTTTTTTAGCTGTAATCAATGTCAGTGGTATCTGCAAGTTCCTCAGTGGTTTAGGCTATGTTTGTTAGTGGAGACTGTGGCGAAGCTTTGCGGGAGTGAGGATGCCAGGTGGGCTGGTGCTCAGGCCCTTAGGTGGTACACATGGGCACTGGTGGTGGCTGTAGTGGAGTAAGTATGTCAGTCCTCGACCCCCTGAGTGGTGTACATGGGCACTAGTGTTGGCAGTGAAGATCTTGGTGGGCTAGTCCTTGGGTCCCCAAGCAGAATGTTTGGGTGCCAGTGGTGGCAGTGGCAGGCCAGGCCCCCAGGTGGCATGCATGTGTGGGTACCAGAAGTGGCAGCAGGCTGGGTACCCTGGTCCCGAGGTCTCTTAAAAGTGTTTGATGGGGTGGATTGATCCTCAGGCTTCTGGACAGTATGGAGAGGCACCAGTGGAGGCAGACCAGATGGGCCATTGTTTAGGCCTCCAGATGACATACATGTGTGCTGGTGGCAGTGGGCAGAGTGAGTTGATCCTCTGGCCCCTAGATGGCTTGTACAGAGGCAAGTGGCAGCAATGGCAGCAGATAGGGTTGGTCTATTGTCAAGGCCCAGGATGATGCATGGGCATGCCAGTTCCCAGGCTCCCTGAAGGCAGTGCAGATTAGTGGTGGCCCTGCCACTGGAAGGGACAGGGTTGCTGCTGGTGGTAGCAATCCCAGGAAGGCACCTCCCAGACTCTAGGGACTGCATGCTTCATTTCCTTTTTTCCCAAGGGCAGCCCTTCTGGTGCAGTGGACTGCTTCCCTCCCCAGGGTGTTGGGCATTGTGTGGGCTAGAGTGCTGGGGACCTGGCCATACTGTTTGGTCAGGCTGGCATCATGGTGTTGTAGTTCTCTGGGTGGATGTGGAGGGATGTCAACCGGACTCCATAGAAGTGGAGATGCAGTGGCTGCTGGGTCCTAGGGTAGAATGTACTCTAGTGGGGACTGAGCTCTCCAAATGACACTGTGTTGCAGTTGCTTGGGTCTTAGGGGGTGAGTGGGGCCCAGAACAAACTTCCCTCTGGAACAATGCAGTCACATGAACTCCAGGTGGTTCCCTATACAGGCTCAGGGCCTGTGAGGGCTGAGGGGCTCTCCTGTGGCTAGGATTGCAGGTGGGAATGTGAACTTCTGGAGATCTCCCATTTACCTTTTCTCTACAATGGGAAGTTCCTCTTGATTCCAAGTCAGTATCAGCTGGCCAGGTGAGCTGCTTTGCTCCTCTCCTTCCTTGCCTCAAGTGGGTCCCTGTCACTTTCCTGGTGAATTCCAGTGTTTTCTCTTGGACAGTATGTTGGATGTGTGCTAATATACTTGCCGTTTTCGTCCTCCTTTGTGGAGAAGGTGAGTGCTGGGTACCTCTAGGCATCTATCTCAATGATTCGTCCTCCTCTGGCTTCTTATAATGTGAGACTCCTAATGTTGAAATCAGGTTTCATGGGATATTCTGTTATTGAATCCAAACACATCTTAGCTGATGAGGTCTGGATAAAGAACAAGTTGGGGGGAGATATCAAAGACCTTGATTTTAGGAACAGTCATCCATGGTGAAGAGAAAAAGAGCCGAGCAGTACCGGAACTCCTGGAGAGGGCTTCAATTGCACTGACCAGGACAGAAGAAAGGATTGGGACTCTGTTGGTCAGGAGTACTGACAGTCTTCCAACTGCTAAAAGGTGAATGAGGCTAGTACCATTTCCCCCAACTTGATCTGCAATGCCAGCATTGAGTGCCATATGTCAGGTATCTTTCTATGCTCCATTATAATCTTATGGGACCACTGTTGTATATGTAGTCTGTCAATGACTGAAACATCATTATGCTGGGCATGATTGTACTTGTGATGGTTAATTTTAGGCCTCAACTTTACTGGATTAAGAAATACCTAGCAAGTCAGGCTCGGTGGCTCAGCCTGTAATCCTGCGCCTTTGGGAGGCTGAGGTGAGTGGATTGCCTGAGACTGCGGATTCGAGACCCACCTGGGCAACTTGGTGAGACCTCATCTCTACAATAAATCAAAATGAGTCGAGTGTGGTAGCGCACACCTGTAGTTCCAGCTACTCGGAAGGCTGAGGTGGAAGGATCGCCGGAGCCCAGCAGGTGGAGGCTGCGGTGGCTGGGAGCGGCCACTGCACTCCAGTCTGGGTGACTGAGTGAGACTCCAACTAAAAAAAAAAGAAAGAAAGAAATATCTAGCAATTTGGCAAGCATATTGTTGGGTGTGTCTGTGTGGTTTTTTCCAGAAGATATTATTGTGTGAGTCAGAGTGGACTAGGTGGGGAAGATTTTCCCTCAGTGTGGGTGGGCACTATCTCCACTGTCCCCAATCAGCCAGGGGCCCGAAGAAAACAAAAACAGAGAAAAGGCAAATGTGTCTACCTACCTCTGGAAGCTGCGACACGTTCATCTCCTGCCTTGGGCAATGGAACTCCAGAATCTGAAGGCTTTGGATTCTAGGACTTGAACCAGTACCCTCTTGTCCCCAGGTTCTCAGGACTTTGACTTTGGACTGAGAGTAATACCATCTTCCTTGATTCTGAGACCTTTAAACTTGCACTGAACTTGCGGTTGGACTGTCATGGTACTTCTCAGCCTCCATAATCACATGAGCTAATTCTCCTAATAAATTCCCTCTGATATATCGATTTCTATATAGCCTATTGGTTCTATCTCTCTGGAGAACCCTAACTAAATGACACCTATACATTACCTAGCATATGGTGAGATTTTAATAATGACCGTTATTATTTCTTAACTGAGACCTATAGAGTTAAGGGAAAATACTTCATGACACCATTAGATACATGGTCAGTAGATATTGGGTAAGAGACCTGTTAGGACAATTGGGTGTTGCCTACCTTGACTGGTCTTCTAAGAGATAGGATCCTGTGATGGAGTTTCAGAAACCATTTCTTCTCTGTCCCCAGAGGCATTTCTGAAACAATAGACCTTCTTTTGGAGGGGGATATCTCTGAAACAATAGACCTTCTTTTAGAGGGGGACTTCAGCGTTTGCCATGACCTTGCTTTCCCCTGAGCAAGGAGAAAGATGAAGACAGAAGATGTGCAGTATCAGCAGAAATGAGAATGTCAGGGATAAGAGGAATTTCCAAGGTTTCCATTGGATGGGGTGGGGAATCATCACAGGGTCTCAGACTCCTGAGAGGAGGAAGTGGGAGGACTATAGAATGTCCCCTGCCCATCTCATCATTGACAACTTGGGTTATTGAAGCACTAGGAGTACAAATGCGATAACCAGAACCAGAGGCTTTCCTGCTCACGGATATGAGGTGGGAGATAGACCAAAATAACCACATAGCACTCACAATAGACACCGAGAAGCCGCTCCTTCTCTACTAGAGTGCCCTCCTACACACCTATTCTAAGTATTTTCTAACCCTGTGATTATTCACAGAAAGAAGAAGAATAGACGTTGCCGGCATTCGTAGTAACAGGATGAGAAAGTGCAAGACTTCCTGTTGTGTGTGTGTGACAGCTGGTGATAAGTGGAGGGCCCGGCACAGGAAATCCGCTCAGCTTCTGCAATGTGGCCTGCCTGAAACTTGGGCGCTCCTTCAGTGTGGGTGTTGATGGCAGGACAGAGGAGCATCTGGACCATGGGTGACGTGGTAGAGAAGAGTTTGGAAGGGCCCCTGGCACCCTCTACAGATGAGTCCTCCCCCAAAAAGGGAGATCTTGTGGAAATCTTAAATGGGGATAAGGTCAAATTTGACGACGCGGGACTCTCCTTAATTCTTCAGAATGGCCTGGAGACGCTCCGAGTGGAAAATGCTCTGACAGATGTCGTCTTGTGTGTGGACATTCAGGAATTCTCCTGTCACCGCGTGGTGCTTGCTGCGGCCAGCAACTATTTCAGGTCAGCATGCCTAGGATCAGAGTCGAATTGGGGGCGAGTTGCAAGGAAAATCCGTGTTGATGGGAGAGCCCAATCTAACTAGTTGTCTGCTATGCTTATGGTCCATATATCTGTTAAGGCGTGTGTGTCTACTTAGAACACCAGAAAGCAAGCTATCAAACCTTAGATTTTAGGCTCAGGTCACAATAAAGAGAGATTGGCATCATTTAGAAGTCATGTTTATATATTATGGTAAAACTTCTGTGTATATGTGCTTGTCCCAAAGGATGGAAAATTGCTGAAGTCACAGGGATTTTCTTCCCCCTTGCTCTGACTAATGTGTTGGAAACATAATGTTGTCTTTGTTCATCAACAGAGGTAGAGAAAAAGGATGTGACTTCTCTCTCAGAGTTATCAAATGTCTTGATAAAAATGAGGGGCTTCTGTGTATATGCAGGTGGCATGAGGGAAGGGAATGCAGTTTCAAAGGTGCTTTAGCCGTGAGAGGCCCCTAGTTACCTTAAATTCATAGTCTCACAGTGGGAAGACCAGGCTCAGGAGCCCTGGGTTGCATCTCACTTTGCCCCCCATCATTTTTTGAGTTGAGGTTTCACTCTGTTGTCCAGGCTGGAGTGCAGTGCCACCATCACAGCTCCCCGCAGCCTCAACCTTCTGGTCTCAGGGGACCCTTCTGCCTCAGCCTCCCAAATAACTGGGACTAAAGGTGCGTGCCACCACACCTGGCTAATTGTTTGATTTTTTGTAGAGACGAGGTCTTGCTATGTTGCCTAGGCTGGTCTCACAATGGGCTTAAGTGGTCCTCCAACCTTGGCCTTCCAAAGTGCTGGAATTACAGGCGTGAACCACTGTGCTCAACTGCACTTTGCCCTTCTTGAGACTTTAGGCAAGTTACTTAGTGCTCTGAATTTCTGTTTTGTGCTCTGTAAAATAGGGGCAATGATGATTACCTTTCAAAGTTGTTGTGATAATCAAATGTGAAGGTAAAAAGGGTCTCACACAGTGTCTGATGCTATGTTGAAATTCTCTAGCTGATTCTGCTTGGTTTGACTAAGAATGATTTATTAAGTGTTTACCATGAGCAAATCCATGGGGTAGGTATTTTAGAGAATCAGGAACCCAGTGAATAGGACTGGATCCAGCGTTCTCCATTTCAGTGTGGACATATGGGGAAACCAGTCCACAAGGGCAAGGTGGATGAAGAAGGTATTTTGGGAACTTGAAAAGAAATACCCTTATAATTCTCCTTAACAAAAGTCTTCTTGACTCTTGGTTCTGGCTGAGGAAATTAAAAACAAGTAACTTATGAAAGTATCATGGAAGGTGTTTTAGTTTTCATTTTTTCGAGGTGCTTAGGGGAAAATCTTTCTTTGGAATTGAAAGAGCAGGGTCAGCGGGTTGTTGTGGGACTGATTCTGTCCTGTATGTTGACAAGGCAAGAGGATATCTGGGTTTGAGGGAAGTTGTGCAGTGCCTGCTATGGGCCAGACAGACATAGTTTGTATTTTATTTTTGCAACATGTATTTTATATTTGCAGTGATGAAGATGGCTAATATTCCCTTTTGTAGATGAGGAAATGAAAACCCAGCATTTCATCTCTGGTCATTGCTGTAGCAGGGATTGGGCACGTTCTAGAAATCCTTGTTACTGCAATGCAAGCTTCCACTAAGTTTGGGGCATCTTTCCACAAGAAGTGCATAAAAGGGAAAGCATAGATGCAGCCATCAAAATGAGTTGACATAGATAAACATGTTACCTGCTCCACCAATATTGACCACATGCTTTTACGTTGATCACTCCTCTTAGGAGTGAGTGAAAGTCGACTTAGCTGAATATCCTGGGTACTTTTCGGTTTATCCTTTCTGTTTTTAATCATTAGAAAATTGCTATCATAAAATATGCATCTGGCCAGACATTTTATTCGCGCATTGGCCTGGCTACCAATAGGGCTGTTGGCTGTTTTTCCTTGAGTACATCTCTGTTCAACTCTGGTCCTCAGGTTTCTCATTCTAAACAGAAGGCATTTGGGCTCAGGTCCTCCCAGCCCTGCTGATCTAGGACACTTAGGGAAAGTCTCTCCTCAGGAAGCTGTGGCAGTGAGAAATTGGAAGCACACGAGGGTATACGTGTCTGTCTGTGTATGTAGAGTCTCTTCCAAAACTGCCTGGTCATGGGAGGAAATTCTTTCAATTCTTTTCTTCAAAGAAGTGACTTTTGATTCATATCTTGGGATTTCCAACGTGACTTTCCTCTACAGTAAATACAGTTCTGGAGACAGGATTCTTTTTTTCCTGTGCTATTATTAATAACTTCTGTTTGTTGTGTGCCGCACCCTGTGCCACTCAGATCACACACACTAGCCCATTTAATCCTTGAAACAATCCTGTAAGGTAGGACATTTTAGTTCCTTCTTACAGAAGAGGAACCGAAGGCCAGAGTGCCACAGTTAATAAAAAAAATAGCCAAGTTGGAATTGGGACCTCGGACTGACATGAAGTCTGGCATTGCTTTACTGCCTCACTTGGTTTGAATCTAAGGTTTTGAAAAGGGTTAGGAGCCAGACTAAGGAAGGCTAGAGAGTCTGTTCTATGTGGGAGACTTTAGACACAGCCCTCTGTGCTTTGGAACCCCTGGAAGCTGGTTGTAAAGTTGTGTAGGATTTTTTCCTTTATTCATTGAGAAAATACATGTTTTCCACTAAGTAACTGATCATAGTTTATTTAGCCAGTCCCCTAATGATAACCAGTTTATTTAACCAGTCTTCTCTTTTTTTCTTTTTCTTTTGGATGGTTTCTAATCTATATTTTACTCCTATAGACAATGTTGTAATGAATAACCTTATGCATATGGCATTTCATAGGCATGCAGGGGTACCTGGGGATGCATTTTGAGGAGGGGGTTTGCTGAATCAAATGCATCTTGCAGTCTTAGAGGTTATTGCCAACTTCTCCTTGGTAGGGGTTGAATCATTTTGCATTCCCCAAGGCCTTACCAAAAGAGGGTGTCATCAAACCATTGAATTTTTACCAAACTGACAGATAAGAAAGAATGTCTCAAATTTAGTTTTAATTTGCATTTCTCTTATTTTTAACAAGGCCAAGCATCTTTTCATATGTCTGAGGGGCATGTATTGTACCTTTTCTGTGAACAATCTTTTCATATCCTTTCAAATTTTCATGTACATTGTTTAAGATGAAAATTTGTTTTTTTAATCAAAACACAACATACAAACAGTTAATAGAGTCAAATAGTACTTAAAAACTTATAATGAAAAACAAAAATTCCTCTTTACTTCCTCTACCCTTTAGTCTCACTCGCCAAGGGCTACCATTTTCAACTTCTAGCTGTTTCTTCCAACACTAGCTCTACATTTCTACAAAATATGCTTATACTGCTCTTCCTTGACCTCTCAATGTTAGACATCATTTATGGATTTCAGCTAAGGATTTAGCACTTCTACCTAACTCCCTTACCATACACTTTCCTTCCCTATAATCTCTCAACAGAATGCTATCACAACTTTTTGCTTAATCTGCACTATGCATTTACATTATTATGTTCATAAAAATATTGTTCTGCATTGAGCCAAATTGCATGATAACTTTTTCTTTCTTGTAAGCCTTTTTGTCTTCCCTGAAGTTATTAATTCACTCCTTTGGGATGTCTTTTGCTCACAGACTTCTAAAAATCTTTCACGTGGTCTAACGCATCAAAGAATCTACCAGTTCCATTTTCCTTAGAATCTTCCTCCCTTCCATCTTCGTAAAAATGCTCTCTGGATGTGAACAGCTAGTATCCAGCTGTTTCCCCACAGTTCCAGAAATTTCCTTCGACTCTCTTCTATGTGGAATGAAAGCTTCTCCTATCTTCTTCTTACTTTGATGAGCACATCTCCAATAACTTCCTTAGAAAGAGTGCCTACGAAGCAAAATTGCAAGACCTTGCATGCTTGAAAATGTCTTTATTCACTGGGAATAGAAGCTGAAGAATGGTCCCTCAAAGTCCTGATTGTCTTAGTCCGTGGAACCTGTGAATGTTGCTTCACATGGTCAAAGTACTTTGCAAATGCGACTAAGTTATGGATCTTAGGTTGAAAAGACCATTCTAGACTGTCTGTCTGAGCCCAATGTAATCACGAGTCCTGATTAGGGGGAGGTAAGAGGATCAGAGCAAGAAAGAAGAGATATGCTAATAGGAGCAGAGGCTGGAATAATTCTCCTCTAGAACTTCTACCGGGAGCATAGCTTTGCCAACCCCTGATTTTGATCCAGTGAAACCTGAGTTTTTTGAGTTGAGGTCTCTCTCTGTTGCCCAGGTTGCAGTGCACTGGCACCATCACAGCTCACTGCAACCTTGACCTTCTAGGCTCAGGTGATCCTTCTGCCTCAGCCTTTGGAGTAGCTGGGACTACAGGCGTGTGCCACTAAGTCCAGCTAATTTCTTGACTTTTTGTAGAGATGAGTTCTTGCTATGTTGCCTAGGTCTCAAACTGCTGAGCTCAAGCAATCCTCCCTGCGTGGCCTCCCAAAATGCTGGGATTACAGTGCGAGCCACCATGCCTGCCCTGTCTTTGGCACTGTTGACACACATTTTTGTTCTTTTAGGCCACAAAGTTTGTGGCAATTTGTCATGGCAATATGAAATGAACACACTTAGGTATAATTTTTAAAAATTATTTTGTTTTTATTTTTGTAGAGACAGGGTCTCACTATGTTGCCAAGTAATTCCTGGGTTCAAGCGATCCTCCTGCCTTGGCCTCTCAAAGTACTGGGATTAGAGGCATGAGCCACTATGCCTAGTAGGCTGTAAAATTCTTGAAAATAATTTTTCCTCAGGAATTTGAAATCATTGCATATTTTCTTCTAGATCCTTATGTTGCAAGTAAGAAGTCTAATGTCCTTATGGTTTCTAATCTTTTGTTTGTGTCCTGCTTTTTTGTTCTAGAAATTTTTAGGATTTTTTTAGCATTTTGATATTTTATGATGCTGTGCCTTAGAGGTGT